AATGCTTATCTAGGATGCTTACACACATGTACACACACAAACTCATCTAATCAGTTCTCCCTATTTCTTTTTTTATATATATTTTATTGATTTTTTACAGAGAGGAAGGGAGAGGGATAGAGAGTTAGAAACATCGATGAGAGAGAAACATCGATCAGCCGCCCCCTGCACATTCCCCATTGGGGATGTGCCCGCAACCAAGGTACATGCCCTTGACCGGAATCAAACCCGGGACCCTTGAGTCCACAGCCCGATGCTCTATCCACTGAGCCAAACTGGTTAGGGCCCTATTTCTTATTTTTTCTTTACTTGGAGAATTTGAAAAGTATACAAACACCAAAAAGTAGGAAAACTTTATTTTGTACCTTAATATAATAAAAGCCATAAATAAAAAATCCACAGTAAGCATCACACTTTAAGAACAAGGAAAAGAAAAGGATATCCCCTTTGGTCACTTCTAGTCAACATAATATTGAAAGTTATAGCCAGATAAATTAGGAAAGAAAAATAAATAAGTGGGATCCAAGTTGAAAAGGAAAAAGTCAAGTTCTCTCTGTTCATAGATGATATAATCCATGTATATAAGCTATGATGCACACTGACCACCAGGGGGCAGACACTCAACACAGGAGCTGCCCCCTGGTGGTCAGTGCGCTCCTTCAGCCAAGCTCCCATGGCCAGCCAACCTCCCGCAGTCCCTCTCTACCCCCACCCCCACTGGCCAACCTCCCATGGCGCCTCCCTTCAGCCAACCTTCCGCAGCCCGGATCGGCCCCGACCACTGGCCAGGCCAAGAGACCCCACCCGTACACGAATTTGTGCACCAGGCCTCTAGTCCTATATAATAAAAGTCTAATATGCAAATTGTCCCCTTGGGCGGTCGTTTGACAGCTTGCTATGACGTGTGCTGACCACCAAGGGCCGGCGCAGAATATGGCGGGCGTCGGCAACGCACTGCAACCTCTCGTCGGCTACCTGGGGATGGGGGTGACAGGGATGGAGGTGTGGTGAGAACGCAGGGTGTCCACCAAGCTTGCTCTCACTCCCCGTTACCCTCCCCCAAGACGCCAGGGCTCATGTGCTGGGGAAGCACCCGCACTCAGGTGCCACAAACCCACAAGAAGCCCACCCTGCACCCGCACGGCATCTTCCAGGTGAACCAAGCCACAGCCACTGGAACTGCAGGGGCTGGTCAAGCTCCCCATGGGTTCGCGCAGCAGCTGGTCTGCAAGGCCAGTTGGAAGAGAGTGCACTGCCCACCCGGCTTCCGTGCGGTACCACTGGGTGGCCCAGAAGCCCACACTTTGCCCACGCTCACCACATCTCCACATGGGGACTCAGGCACCATGACTCAGGCGGAGGGGGACTCACGGGGTCCTGAGGGCCCAGGAGCTGCCCAGGGCCCTGAGGTCAGCTGGAACCTGCCCTTCCACACATGATGCTCGCACTTCAATTGCCAGCCAGGCCTAGGGACCACACCCGTGAATGAATTTCATGCACCAGGCCTCTAGTCTTACACATCGAAAACCCTGAATGTTCCACACACACACAAAAAACACAATTAAAGCTGATAAATGAATTCAGCAAAGTAGCAGTATACAAAGTCAACATACAAAAATCAGTTACATTTCTATGCACTAATAATGAACAATCTGAAATGGAAACTATGAAAACAATTCTATTTATAAGAGCACCAAAAAATCAAATTCTAAAGAATTAACATAACCAAAGAAGTGAAAACTCTTTAAAATGTACAATGAAAACTAAAAAACATTATTGAAACAAAAAAGACATAATAAAAGGAAACATGTATCATGTTCACTAACTGGAATACTTAATATTGTTAAGATGTCAATACTACCCAAAGCATACATATTCAATGCAACCTCTTTCAAAATCCCAATAACATTTTTTATAGAAATAGAAAAATTCCGTCCTGAAATTCATATGGAAAATCAAGGGATTCCAAATAGGCAAGTCAATTTTGGAAAAAGAACAAAGCTAGAGGACTCACACTTTCTGAGTTAAAACTTACAATAAAACTACAGTAATCAAAACAGTGTGGTACTGGCATCAAGGCAGACAAATAGACCAATGGAATAGAATGGAGAGCTCAGATATAACCCTTAGCATACTGGGTGAGGCAAAAGTAGTTGTGAGTATGCACAACACAGAGTGTATTCTTGTATTAATATTTATTCATGATTGTATTATTTTCCTTACAAATAACTATAAACCTACTTTTGCCCTAACCCTGTGGTCGGCAAACTCATTAGTCAACAGAGCCAAATATCAACAGTACAACGATTGAAATTTCTTTTGAGAGCCAAATTTTTTAAACTTAAACTATATAGGTAGGTACATTGTTATTAACTTAATTAGGGTACTCCTAAGGCTTAGGAAGAGCCACACTCAAGGGGCCAAAGAGCCGCATGTTTGCCGACCACGGCCCTAACCTATATATACTGGTAATTATAAATAGAATTCGTTAAATATAGAATAGGTACTGTGACCATGTCAAACTGAAAAGCTAAATAAAAAGGAAATAGGCATATGAAAGGCTGCTTTCAAGTTGACATCAAAGATAACTCTGATCTAGAATCAGATCTTTTTGTAGTGATCCCATTGTTAAGTAGTGGACATTTCCATTTACTTGGTATTTGCACTAAGTCTGAAGCATCTCTGTACCTTCTACTCTATTCCCTGGCTCCAAAACGAAAAGAAGAGTTTTAAATATAGTTGAACATCAAGGTTCAGAAATACATATTTTTAAAAATTATAAATTAAAATCATATAACTGGAGACATTAAGTCCATTTTTAAAAATGAAGATAGTGTAGCCAAGAATATGCAATCTCACTTCATGAATTTTAAGTATTATTTAAACAGAGTAAATTAATAAACAAAACAGTTTTATAAAAACCAAACCTTTATCCACATTACTCAAAGGTAAAGAACTTTTATAAAGTAGGAAAGGACAGCCTTAGCGGTTTGATTCCGTGGTTGAGCATCAGCCCACAGACTGAAGGATCGAGGGTTTGATTCCAGTCAAGGGCACATACTTTGGTTGCAGGTTCAATCCCTGGCGGGGCCAACCAATCAATCTGTAATTTTGTAATATCACTTTCTCACCATCCATTTTCCTACTCCTTCCTTTCTTTCTGAAGCCAAGACTCTTTCTTATGGAAAATTAGGTGCAAGAAAAGAGTTGCATCCACTATTGTGCTTTCAGAAGAATGTCAAGTGACAGTATGATAATGTAGTTCCACCTATTAATATACCCTGAAAAGGTTTAGAATACCCACCTGTGTTCCTAAAATAAAAGAAAATAAGCAAAGGGAAGTAGAATAAAAGAAGGTGATTAAAGGTGAGTACCGGGAAGGTGAGTAAAGATGGGGGAATGAGAAAGGTCAAAACTCAAGTGCCAACCTGGACAGTCAAAGGCAATATTATAATACTGTTTCTAGGAGTGGAAAGTAGGGCATGTAGAATATTAGAGAATGGAGCAGAAAGTAAGACTATGAAGAAAATTTTCTAGTGTTTTTACAAGTACAGTATACACCTACCACTGTTAATATTAAAATGTCATTTATGTTCACCATACTTTCCCCTTTTTGTACCAGCCTGAAACTCTATTACCCCATTCCTGACACCCACCCTTCTCAAAGCTGAAAGCCATTCAGACACACATTTCTTAAAATCCAACCTCTTTCCTAATAAAAACTGACCCATTCTGTTCCAGCCCATCTCTTCCTTAATCAAGATTCTCGTTGTCTCAGGTGGGTGGTTTCCATTAGGAAAATAACCTGATAAAAGTAAACCACATTGAGAACTTAAGCTTCAGAGGATAAAAGTATTTTTAAATGTTGGGATCATATCTCAGAATCTTATCTACTCTGAGGCTAACATTTTCTTCACTTAATCATTCAAAAAATATTTACTGAGTAACCAGAAGTATAGAGACAAATTTGGCACCCTACTTCTGAATACTTGCCAGTTTCTATTGTAGAGTAAAGAAGTGAAAGGAAGGCTAGAAAAAAAAATAGGCAATAATGGGACTTTAGGTACTGATGATAAATACTTGCTTTACATACTGTTATTCCAACAACTCATACACCACCATTCCTGGCCTCCAGCCCACCTTACACCTGACTTCGCATCACTAATTGATCATTTTCTTTCCTGCTTAAGCCAAGTACAGACTCAGAATTTTTTAAACATTATGTTTCAGGTAACCAGCTGTTATTTAGATGAAAACTATGTGTTATCTCCTAGTTAAAGGGAAAGTCAGGCATCTGGGAAGGAACGATTTTAAAGATGACAGAAGGAACTACACTATATTCAGTCTAGAAGAGTAACAAAAATAGCAATTACATTATGTGTCATGCAGCACTGCACAGATACTTTAAAGATATTGTATTTCACTGAATCCTTATAGCAATCCTATGAGGCAAGTACTATCTCCATTTTACAGTGAAGTAGAAGGCTATTCCCAGCCTCCTCTCTGCTTATCTAAATTCCCTTCATCCATGGCAGCCTCCAAACCA